AAAAAAAAAAGATATTTCACAAATTATCTCCTTTTATGTTCCATTGTTTATGTTAGGCCATTGTAGCCTAAACAATTATGTGTAATAAATTTTATGTTGAATCAAATAAAATATTTCTAAAGCTACTATTTGTAATGTCTAATTAATACTTTCTCATTTAACACAAGAAAAGCTTTAAATAATCTTTTGGGGGTATTTTCACAGCCAAATGTGTACCCACTGTATATTGTATTTTTCTACGTAAATAATAAAATATATTATGACCAGTATTAATGTTGGTGGCATCTTTTTGATAAGACAGAATTTAACAGAAATAGTCAAACTAATTTTTGGCACTGAGGAAAATATAATTATTAAAAAACTTTTAAAGGCGGTTATGATACTTTAAAACTACACTCAAAGTTTTCTGCAACTGAAGAGCACCACGAGGCATATAGTTCAGTCCTGAGTGGCTGTGGGTGTGGTAATGGGATATTTGAGAGGTCTTTTCCTCTCTGATTCATGTTGCTACGAGCGAGCAGTGTTTGTTTCTTCTAACAGTCAGGCTCTTTAAAACAGATGAGGACTCTCAACGCTGACACTCATTTAAAATGGCTTTATTCTGAGCACCATTACAGTTAAAGCGTAATCCTGCATATTAAACACGAGTGTTTTGTCCAGTGGGATTCTGTAATTTATCCTGAAAAATGCAAAGTAAGCATCCCTCTCTCGCAACCAGTCCGGCTACATTAATTGGTATCATTACTGTGCATCATTATATCAGTTGTATTGTGCAAGAGTTTGTGTGTGAGTGTGAGAGAGAGGGCTGGGATTGAGGCTCCCTGTTAATGATTCAACAAACTTGGCAGTACTGGGCACAGAGCAGAGGAGCTCATTGTGAATAAAAGGAAAGAGACTGTCCACACCAAGTAATGATTATTTACATTCCTATGGCCTCCTAAAGACAGAATTAAACACCTAGAACCTTCAGAAATACATTTTTGTGCTCAAGAATCTTTTCTTCTTATCAACAATGTTGAAAACAGTTGTGCTTCTAATTATTTATGCTTTTTGTTTTTTGTGGAAAATGTGATCGATTTTTCTGAGGATTATTTGATAAATAGAACATTTACTATTCAAAATAAAAATATTTTGCAACATTATAAATGCCTTTACTGTAAGTAACTTGATAAATGCAATGCATCCTTGCTGAATAAAACTTAATTTCTTTCAAAAAATGAATAATGTAACTGATTTCAAACCTTTGAATGGTAGTAAATAATCATTAGCGGTTCTGGCTACGGTACTTTGGCATGCAACACCCAAAAGACACCTAAAACCAGATGTTTCTGCTGGTTTTAGATTGTTTAAGATCTTCCCCCAGCCTCACCAAGCTAGTGTGCATCTGGTTTAGCTGGTTGGTCAGCTGGCTTCCCTGCCTAACCAGTTGAAAAGTGTCAAAATCCATCTAAAACAGACAAACCAGGCCAGCTAAAACAAGCTTCTGTTCATGCTTGTTTTTTCAATTCAAGTTTGTATTGCATTTCTAATCATCTGCCTTGAGCAGAGGTGTGCTAGTACTTTTCTAAGGGACAGAGAAAGGCAAACAGGAAGAGAAAGAGTTAAAGAGGGAGGGAGAAGTGAAAATAAAAGAGTGGAGATTGGTTAGAAAACTGCACTAGTCAAACTCTTTGATCACTCACATGTAGAATGACGCCCTTCTCCAGCAGGCTCTGCTTTTTGGCAGTCATTACAAAGTAGTGTGTGTCATCCTTATAGTAGACAATGTTTTCCAGGTCAATTCCTGTGGAGGCAAACCAAAAGAGAAAAAGACTAAATGAGCGAGCGGGAGGAAGAGATTGAAGTGGAGTTGTGACAGACAGCATGTCAAGGGGGGAAAAAGAGGGCAACAGAGATAGAAAGAGGAAGTTGTTTGCATCCGTTCACAGATGTAATTAAGTTCCATCTGTGCGGCGGATAATGCGCCCACTCCCTCCATCAACAGGACAGAGAGAGAGAAGAATAACAGTGATTATACAACTCAGAAAACAGCAACAAAGTCTGCCAACTCAGCACAAAGCACAGGAACAGCTCTTCAATACGAGATTCTTCAAGTATTTGTTTCCTACACTGCTGGATCTTCTAGAAGTACCACAAGAGCTTCTCTAAAAGTATAACAAGAGTTCTTCTGTTAGCTATGAGCTGTAGCTGCTGTTCTTACATCAAATTCTGACATATATATTCAATAAGAGTGCTTATTGTACCTGTGGCTTCTCTAAGGTCCTGGAAGAACTTCTGGTTGAAGATGAAGGCTACTCCACTGATCTCCTCCACCTTTGCTTCTGCAGTTGTGTTGCGGTTAATGAAGTTAGCTGTGATAGCAATAGCCAATTTGCCCCTAAACTCCTTCCTCCTGAAACCTGGAGAGACAGCATACACATTCATAAGTATGAATGCCAAAATGTTTATGCAGATCAACAACAGATCAGTGAGATTTCCAATGACTAAAAACTAGATTTTTTACATATTTGAAGAAAATGTGAGTGGTGCAAAACCCACCACCATTTTACTAGGTGGTTGCCAGTTTGTTACGAAGACATTGAGTGTTTTGAATGTGCTGCTATGCAGTTGTTAGTGTTTTTAGTTGTTAGTGTTTTAGTCAAAATCCGTCCTATGCATATCTAGTGACCAGAAAATCATGTGTCATCTTTAAATGTACACTACACCTTTCAGTAAAGTTTTTTTTTTTTAATTCAGCAGCTAAGGACACATTAAACTGACCAAAAGTGACACCTCACACCTCTGTTCATCAGTTTGCACTGGCTGACCAATAGCTGCTCGCATAAAATTCAAGGCATTGATGTGTGCCTACAAAACCACCCCTTTACCTAAATTCACTACTTCAGACTGATGTGCCCAGAAGCTTGCATTCTGCAAGTGAAGGGCGTATTATTGTGCCATCCCAAAGAGCCACAAAATCACTAGAGGTCATTCCGCCAGAAGGGAACAGTAAATGTTCCCTCCTGGTGGAATGACCTGCCCAACTCACTTCGAGCAGCTGAGTCCTTAGCCATCTTCAAGAAACAGATAAAAACACATATCTTCCATCTTTATTTGACCCTCTAACACTAGCACTCTCTAATCTAATCTAATTTTATTTTATCTATTTTTTTTTAGCCGAGACTTGTCATAGCACTTGCATATTATTGCTCTTTTGTTGGTTTTGATTGCTTCTATTGTCCTCATTTGTAAGTCGCTTTGGATAAAAGCATCTACTAAATGTAAATGTAAACGTAAAAGTGACAATAAAGAATTTTACATTGTTACAAATTATATTTATATGATAAAAGCATTTCAACGTTCTATTTAAAGAATCATGAAAATGTATCTAATGCACCAAATCCGCATATTAGTATGATTTCTGAAGGATCATGTGACACTGAAGGCTGGAGTAATGGATCCTGAACACTCAGCTGTGCATCACAGAAATAAATTACATTTCCAAAAAAAAGAAAACAGTATTTTAATTGTAATAATATTACACAATTTTAATAAATTCTGCCTTGGTGAGGATAAGAGATTTCTTTCAAAACCATTTAAAAATCTTAAAAACATCCTACAAACATTTGAATGTTAGTGCAAGTCTACAAGATTTTTGACCCATTTTTGATTTGCCAAGTTTATTCATTCAAGTATAAGCACACTTCTGCTGAATAAGCAGCATGATTTGAGATATCATTCATGTCTGCAGGACAAGTTACACACTGAGGTTTGTTCAAATCCCAAGGCAAGCACCACTAATTATTTTTGTTCCTGTCTAGACAAGAACTAAAGATTCAAAGAGAGGACATTCTCAATTATGATTTTATATGAAGTGCTATATTCTTACCTGACAGCGTGTTTCTCCTCCCATCAGCCCCAATTATGACGTCGAACTCTAGCTCATTGACTGGATGTGTTCTGGGGTGGACCTCGGCTCTCCACCCAATTCCTGGAAAAACCAACAGCATGTTCAGCGCTGACAGACAAGTCCTTTCTCCGCAAGACTTGGTATCCATTCAGGATATGCCTAGGCTCTTTAGAACGACTGGCATTTATGTGGAAATGGAAACAAACGAATGGAACTGCTGAACTTTAGCATGGAAAGGACGTGAGAAACTGATCTTACTCTCATTCTCTTGGTCTTCTGGTGGCTCAATGAGGCCTCTGAACTCCACGTTGACGTGAATCTCGATGCCAAGGAGAAGAGCTACCTTCAAGAGCATCAGCTGCAACTGACGAATACCTGCAGTAAGAGATTACAAAAACAAAAACCACATCTGAGACTCCATTTACACATGGTATTAAAATCTGACTCAAAACGTGGACAAGACGTTCTAGAAAAGTTCCTCTGATTAGATGCATCACTTTTACAAGTCCAATTTATTTTCTTCTTAGCCAAACCAGTTCTATCTTGCTGGCAAAGTTTAAAGACCTTGTTTTGGCAGGTTTTCCCCAACACATCCCACAATGATTACATGAGTGGGCAGCTATTTAACGTCTGGGATGAATCAGTATGCATTAGTATTTACACTACATTTGCTGGGAGTCCTTGAACACCTCGGAAGGTGGTTTGAGTAATTGTTGAAAGTCTCCAATGTGTCTAACCCATCTACGTTTAATGCTGTCCACTAGCTGTCATGAAAAAATCGTTTGATATACTACTTACTGATATGGTCGATGGCTCCAGCACAAAACTTGCCGTAGAACTTCTTGGCTCCAAGACCCCTCAGATCCTGAATGGTGAAAGGCCAAAGATGGAGCACATTGTTTCGGGAGAATGCATCCCTCTTCTCCAACAAAACCACCTTGGCTCCAAGAAAGCCCAGCTCTATGGCTGTACGCAAACCACATGGTCCAGCTCCAATGATCAGACACTGAGAAACAATTCATAAGGAGTAAAAACCTAATTATCAAGCCACAAAGTCCATAAAGAATCTATTTTAAGCAATACCAGAACATTGCAAGTTTGAGAACTAATAACCAAAACACTCTCTTTCACCCCAGGGAAACTTTCATACTTTGGTGTTGGCACAGGCCCTTCCTTTTTTGTATTCTTTGTGGCTGGCGCGCTTGTCTAACTTGGCCCAGAGAGCTTTGGCTTTCCAGTAGTTGAGCTTGGACTTGAGTTTGTGGTAGAACACACGGTATTCATTGGGCTTGAGTTCCAGGAAGTCACAAAGCTCTTGAAAAGCCTTGAGAGTGCCTTTGCAGGTGGTGGCCTGGACGAAGCGGTCAAAGAACACATGGGACTGATTCACCCCTTCTCCCACCGCATTGACGCCTCCATCTCCCATGGTCCCTTGACCCGACGAGCGGGGATTATGGGACAGGCCCCGTCCAGCTTACTCAGAGTCTCTCTGTTTGCGATTCAACTTCCGCCATAGGTCATTTTCATCCTGAATGAAGAAAAAAAGATGTATCAAATATTTTATATATACAGTACATCACTGTGGCACATGTGGAAATGCACAAAACTATGCAGAAGTAAAAAATAATTGTTTATTCAATATTTTGGCTTATTTTGAAAAAGTGTTATTATTAATTATCAATGAGAGCACATCACTTTTTTTTTTAAACCATTTCAGACAACTTGCCTAAAAATAAGTGCAGAAAATGCGATGAAAATCTGCAGATAGCATCTAGGCCTTCTTATTAGATTTTCTTCAATGATAAAGAGATTATAACATTTAAATAACATTTCCACAAAGCATGGCTTTAACAGAAAGGAGAGATATGGAAGCTTCCTGGTTTAGTTTCAGAAACAAACTATTTAAACAAGCATACCTCACTATCCTATAATAATTGGTGATAAATTACCCAATTTTAATTAAACTCTCGGAATAAAACAAGCATTGCTACAGGATTAATTTGCTGCCTACTTATTTCAGTATAGTGACGTATTTTCAACTGAAACGGAATATTGAATCGAGGGCAGGGTTTTATTTTAGTGCTCCTCGTCTCCATCTCACACTCACAGCAACCTAAAGGTTGGAGGGACGTGGTTAAGGATATATGTTCATCAAACTGACATCACAGAAGGAATGCCATTTCAGAGGGGAAGCAAATGTTCAGATTTTGATTAAAGATTACCAAGACAAACATTTTTTTTTTTTTTTTGTCGATTAACTTGCACAGATTAATTGTTCACCTTAAGATTTGCAATGTGCACTAACAAAGTAAATGGAGTCAATTTTAATTTCATGAGGAATTTAAGATATCACTTTATGTTTCTACAGGGCAAGAACATGATATAATGCAGCTATATAAAACATACTGTGTAAAACAGGTCTATAAAACAGGTTTTAAAACCCCAAGACGAGGCGGAAGTGCAGGGGTGATTGCGTTTTTGCTACAATTGCCCCAAGACTCTGGAATGATCTGCCCACTTTTATTAGAATGGCTTCGTCTGTGGCTATTTTTAAGTCTAAATTAAAATCCTATCTGTTTGATAAGGCTTTAAATTCTGGTTTAGCACTCTTTATCCTTGTCCTATGTTTTTGTTGCATGTTATGTTTTTTTTCCCCCTTCCTCTTGGTTTTACTGCTTTTTACTTTTCATTGTGTTATTGCAGTTTTTAGTTATTCTATTGTAAAGCACATTGGTCAATTCTGGTTGCACTAAATAGTGCTATATAAATAAAACTGCCATTGCCGTTAAAAAGTTAACACGTTTCATCAACACAGAGTGGGCTGCCAAAACCTTGTCTGGAAAATTTAACATAGCCTAAAGGACCTAGAAGCTTTAATAAAGACTTGGCATCAGAAAGAGCTGAGAATGCCCCATGCCCTTATCTCGGAGTCAGTGACCACAGAAAGTCTGATGAACGCACAGAAACCCAAACAGGAAATGCTGTAATATTGGAAGTTCATGCATTCTACTGTGAAAGAGTCACCCCAGACATGATAAACCAACCACAGTGCTGCATGAATAACAAAAACTATTGCTGACACCAAGTCCTAATCAGGTGTGAAATAGTCTTGCATCGCCAAACCTTTGTCAGCCTGTTCCTCTTTAGAGCTTATTTTGGTCAAGAACTGGCCATTCAAACAGGAAGAGACCTCCTGACATGTAAAGCAACCAACCAACCACAGTTTACTTTGCATTTAAATGGTGAGAAAAAGTCTCACAAATGCGTCTCTCAGAATGTTGCATTCTTCGATACAGGCTGACAAAGACCAGATCTCATTGACATTGGCCAACAAAGGGGAAAAAAGCCCAGAAATGCTGATGACCAAACATTTCGGCAACAGTGTGCAGGAGACCTCTCCGAAAGAATATTTTTAAAGCAAGACATTCTAAACACGTCGAGAGAAAAAAGAATGCTGAGTAATCAAAAAAAATTGTTGAATACATAAAACAGACCCATCAAAAGAATCACATTTAGACTGTTTTTCAATCGGGCAACTGAAAGTGGCCACAGTTAACTGTCAGCCACTGAAATAGAACATCTAAAATATCACAAATTAGTAGTTTGTCAAGGCCAAGGACATGTACACACACACACACTCCCATTAAACGAATTCAGACTCACACACACTGCTAAGGTGTGGTCTAGATGAAGGAAATCTCCACCTCACAGAAAGCCGGTGAAAGGGAAGGTAGGTGAAGGGTTAGTGTGAGGGCCCTTTCACTCGGTTCCAGCTTTAGTGTGCTGTGAAAACACGCTCCTGACCTCACCGCTCTGAAACTGCTGCGCCAGCAATCGCCTCAACACAGCAGCCAGCCACTAAAAGCCTCAGTAGTGTCACAAAGCCACAAGACGTGATATAATGATATCTGCCTTACATGTAGGGCTGTAGGCTTGCCGCGATAGACGGTGTTGACGGTGATACCGGTGTTAAGCCGCAACACCGGTTACGTCACTTGCCCACCGCGGCACCGACCCCCACCGTCGTTTTGATGTCATTTAGTTCAGTAAAAGAACAGACACTACAATTAAAAACTGAACGCGGCTGCTCCATGCAGCGTGCCGAACGACAGTCGCATCACAGATCAGATTTAATTTCTCCAGTGAGGAGAGTGAGTCGAGCTGACTGACAAGAAGAGTGAGGTGAGGTGAGACAGACAAGACGATCGCGGATGATTTAGTTTCGAAACTAGATGCAAAAGCGCCTGTTTGGCAGTATTTTGGATTTTGAAAAGCCTGTGATTTTGGACGTTTTTTTTAAACATTCGTTTCTTATTTAATTGGTTCCACTTTGTTTGCCGATTTTTACTTTATTTAAACTTTGTGTCATTTATTTATTTTATTTGACAGCAAGGTGTATGCCGTGCCTCCTCAAGTTTTCTTACTCGTTTTGCTAATAAACGTTCTACGTTTCTTATTTATTTGGTTATATATTATACATGTTTACTTATCCTATTTCCAGTTTTGTATACCTATTTAAACTTTATGTAAGTTAGCTATTTGTTATTTTATATTAGGCATAGCCTGCCCTATAGAATGGTGTATTTTTATTCGTTTTGTTAATAAAAGTGATATGTTTTATATATACGCTAAAGTGAGTTTGACGTATTTTGTTGTTGCATTCAAGTAATTGATGCCTAACTGCCGCTAATTCAAAAGTGAAAGTAAAATGTGCAC